GCAGCTGGTGGCAGGCTGTGCCATCCGGCTGCCCCAGGCCAGACCACCACGTTCCCCACCCAGGGGAAAGGGGTCTCCGTGGCGTGGCTGATGGATGGGATCTTCACGAAGGGCTGGAAGAGCCCCAGGGGAGGAGGTGGCAGGACTGAAGTCCCCACAGCTCTCCTCAGGCCCTGCCACCATCCCCAGGGGATCAGTGTCCTCTGCGGGGCAGAGGCACTTTCTCCCAGAGATCTAAGCAGGCCCCACAGCAAAAACACAGCAGCAGAGGCAGCCAACACCCCTTTCCTACCGATAAGGTGGTTAGAGCGTGCCTTGCTGCGAAGGAGGCTTGAAACACTCTTCTTTCAGCCATGCCTCAAAGCAGAGCTCCTGGCAGGTCCCCGCAGCAGCAGCATGCACAGAAACTCAGCATGTGTGTGGGCAGAAAGCAAGGGGAGGAGGGTCCCTAATTCCATATCCTAGTAAGGGCAGGATCTGTGAAATACAGAAATAGCCACCAACTGGATTTTGACTTTGAAATTTAGATAAGCTCCCCTTTGCATTATGTAAACAAACACTGATACATCCAGTACACTACCTTAAATATTTACACAGTAAGCCCAGCTCCCTCAGCAGCCCTCTCACTTTCCCTCAGATGAGAGGAAAGTGACTTACAGAATAAAAAATTTTAACCAGCCATGGTCTGCTCAAGCATTGTGTAAGTGTAGACTTTTTATTTTTTTTAAAAGTGATTTAGGATCTTTCAGTTGCATCTGTTTATGTGGGAAATCCTGGGAAAACAGACTTGACCATCATTTTACAGTCCTGAACTACTAAAAGCTTCAATATTGAATGCTCCCTGTTGAGTTTACAGAAAGAACCTAACACCAAAATGCTAAGGAGCATGAAGTTAATGTAAAACATAATTTAAAAAAAAAATCCAATATTTAGCAGAATTGTAATTTAGAGTTCTTTTAATGCTGTCTTCTTAAAATTTGAGGTGCAAGCATAATGCAAGTTTAGGTGTCACAAGCTCTAATTGCTTTTAAAGGTTTTAGAGTTTGGGCCAGACTCATTCAAGATGTTTTAGAGCTGAACTTCACAGACTTCCCAAGATTTGAACTAGATTCTTCAAATGCTGTGTGCTGACTTCCTGACCTAGCTAATAGAAAATGCTGGAAAAAAGAGCTGTTGCTTAAACTCCAGTTCTCAGAGTTAGGTACTTCAAGAGTACAGAAACGCCTCCTTGCACTGAAGTCACAGCCACAATCTATCTCTGGGCGTTAGGTATTTAACCCATGCTTTCCTTACACAGGATTGCAGTCGCATCCTTGACCTGCCTTCCAACAGAGAGCTCAGTCGTTGAAGCTCTCAGCAAGGGTTACAGAAATTAGGATTTTGCTCCTACCCTTGAGAGAGTTCAAGGAACCTCTATTATAATCTTCCAGATGATTGATCTGATCACTCTGCCACTACCACTGATGTCCAGGGCAGTCTGGAACAAGGCTGTCATTTGACCCTTCCTGTTGAAATTGTTCTGTTTTCTGTGGGCTGACTAGTAATTGCACGCTTTTCTCCCCTTTTGG